TTTTTGCTTTTTTTTTTCTTTCCCCCCCCCCCCCCCCGCTGACCTGTACTAGCCCCTCGCCTGGGTTCCCCATTTCCCTCGGAAATACGGGGCACGTTTAGAGAATAGGAAGGCTTCTCTCTGCTATCTTCTATCGGTCTCCGAGGACGGTACTGATTCTCTGCGTGGCTGTTTCTCCAGTGACCACGCCGTTGACGAGACCAGCCAGGAGGAGCTCGGCCGCCGGGGAGAGCTGCCTAAGCCAGAACGCCGTGCACCCGACATCCACGACGTCCAGTCATTACACCACGCCGTCGCCACCGCAACATCCGCAGTCTCAGGGTGGGTGGCCTAGCTCCCTGCGCCTAAGACGACTGCCTACCCTCGGACCCCCCGTTCCCAATCTTCTACGGAAGACGCGCGCCGAGACGAGGACCGATCCGACCCGTCCGTACCCGTGATCTTAGAAACAAGCTAGTCCCGAGTGTCTGTTCGGTCATGGTCGCTCTTTGGGAAAAAGAAGACATTCGTCTCGGGGCGCGTCGGTGTTCGAGTAACAGCGAAGAGGACAACCGGAGACGTTCGAAGAGACAAATGATCCGCGGAGCGTGGCCTGACCCAGCAATCCCTCTTTTCCAGGCGACTTCCAGAGCGGACCAGGCCGGCCTATGGAGGAGATCAACGCCAGGATAGACCAGCTGTCGCGGCAGGTGTCCTCTCTGGAGCACTCGATGGCCGGGGACATCCGGCTGATCTTGACGTTGCTCCAGCAGACGCTGAACTCGTCCAGGGAGAGCTCGAGCATCGAGATGATGCCTGGGACCGCGCCGGCTGGCAAACAGGGCAGCAGACCACCGGCTTTGGTCCAGCGATCGGCCAGCGAGCCACAACCGCCGAGCGTGCCGCCGTCGACCAATGGAAATGGGAAGATCCAGCCGAGCACGTCGCACGGATTGTTCAGGTGAGCAATCGCGAGTAGCGGTCGATTGGAAATCGATCGGAAATTGGTGTTCATCGCGGTCGCTCAGCGGAGAGACCGGCGTTTGGCCGATAACGTCGACTTGTTCCTCTGTGGAACGAACTCGTTCGTGTTTCGCGCGCGACTTTGAAATTTTCGAACAATTGTTTTCTCGTTGGACCGAAAGGTTTCTCGCGACGATAACGTGTTAGACGTGCGATTGATTTGTTCGTGGAACATGCTGGACGCTGTCTCGCCGACGGAGCACCGTTAGTCTGTCTGTTCTAGCGATAATTGTGTGTCTTTTCTTTCTCTTTCTCAGTGTTTTTCTATCTTTCTCACTCTCTCTCTATCTATCTATTTCTCTGTCTTTTTCTATCTCTCTCCCTCTCTCTCTCTCTTTCTTTCTCTCTCTCGCTCTATCTCTCTTTCTATTTTTCAGTTTCTCGTCGTTCAATCCGTTTCTCTCTATCTCGACACGCAGAGAACGGAGCGAGCGTCTGTGTGCGTGCGCGTGTGTGTGCGTGCGTGTGCGCGCGTATGTTGTGTCTTTATTCTTAATCATTTTTGTCAAAGTAGAAATTGATTCTGTTTTTCCTAGGAAGTAATCGATGTTTTTATTCTTGGAAAGCTTTCTTTCGAAATCCCTGGATCAGTTGCATTTGATTTCGGCGTCTTTTATTTTGGAAAGGTTGGACAAGTTCCGAAGGTGACCATAACTCATACTCTTCTTTGAAACCCTTTTTGCGAGCAGTGTCGCGCGAGTAGAAACGAAAACAGATTGACGAGCGCCAGTGTTTGCTTGGAGACGAGAAAACGCGCGCAGTACATAACATGTTCGAGAGCGAACCGGTCGAAATCGCTAGCCTAATTCTCGCTAATTAATCGTCCTCTTTTCTCCACGGTCTCGTAAGTACAGTTGAACATTTGAACATTTCTCGTCCGTTCAGTATGCGCCTCTTCTCTTCGTCCTTCCGTGTCTGAAATTTCGTTCCCTTGCTCTGTTTCTCTTTCTCTCACTTTCTTTCTTTCTCTCTCTCTCGAAATTTCGTTTCCTTGCTCACTCTCTCTCTCTCTCTTTCTCTCTCTTTCTCTCTCTATCTCTTTCTCTCGAGTCGCGATCAATTGGAAACCATAATCGACATCGACATTCGCATTGAACCAATCGCTCCGGTTACCTCCGTAGAACTTCTCTTCTCTCATTACACTGTCCGACAAAATCAAACTTTTTTTCTGGGTTCCTATAGCCACTATGAAATTCTTGTAGAGCTTCACTCCCTGAATAAGAATCCGAAAACCGAATGGCTCCATCACCCTCAGTTTTTTAAATAAACGAACTTTTGTAAAAACACAAAATTTTCGACAAAAATGAAGTATTGCATGAAAAGTACAAACGTTAGAAAGTTCTAATTGGTGTTAAAAGATAGAGGAGAGTTTCCCGAATATAGTAGCATGCAATTTATTAATTGTTTTTGGTCCTAAATAGCAATAAATTAATGTCAAAGTTTAAAAAAGTGTCGACGTGAGCAGTTTCTGCGCAATATTTTTGTATTTTTACGAAAAGTTTTTTGTTCAGCACGAAAACTCTACCCAGGATCGGATTCTGTAGACATTTCTGAAGAAGAAACGGCCCGATAGAAGTGTCAAAACGATGTACATTTTGAGTAGGTCGAGAAAATGTTCGTCGGCAACATGTACACGATGTTTCGCCGCCATGTGCTTCGCTGCTCGCTTCTCTCTGTCCGACAGGGCCGAAACTATGGGTAATCAACATCGATGGAGGGTTCCAATGGGGCACCCACTTAGCGTGTGGTGCGTGCCATTTCTTTTTAGTACTTCAATGTGCTGTCTTCTTTTACATATTTTTATGGATAATAATCACCAAACTGTGAATCATAAATTAAAAATGGAGAAATAATAAAAGAAAAATAATGAACAAAAAATATTCATTTTATTCTGAATTTGTTCGAATTACAAGTATATCATGTATACAGTTATCATTTAAATTATAACGATAATACGATCATGAATAAATAATCATTTTCAAAACGTTAAACTTCTTGAAACATATCGTTAAATATATCTTTAAATATTTATTTAATTATATGGCGTAGAAGTCAAAATTATACTAGTGTTAGAATACTTTCGTTACCAACTCCAAATACTCTGGTGTGATTTTTTGTGTGGCATATATCATAGTTTGGTGATTATTATCCACAGAAATATGTAAAAAAAAACAGAACATTGAAGTACTAAAAAAAATTCAAATATTATTTTCGAAAAGTGGGTGCCCCATTGGATCCCTCCGTCGTTGTTGATTACGCGTAGCTTCGGCTCTGTCGGACAGTGAGAAGCGAGCAGCGAAGCTCATGGCGGCAAAACGTCGTGTACATGTTGCCGTCGAACATTTTCTCGATTTACTCGAAATGTATATCGTTCCGACACTTTTACCGGGCCGTTTCTTCTTCAGAAATGTCTACAGAATCCGATCCTGGGTAGAGTTTTCGTGCTGAACAAAAAACTTTTCGTAAAAATACAAAAATATTGCGCAGAAACTGCTCACGTCGACACTTTTTTAAACTTTGACATTAATTTATTGCTATTTAGGACCAAAAACAATTAATAAATTGCATGCCACTATATTCGGGAAACTCTCCTCTGTCTTTTAACACCAATTAGAACCTTCTAACGTTTATACTTTTCATGCAATACCTCATTTTTGTCGAAAATTTTGGGTTTGTACAAAAGTTCGTTTATTTAAAAAACTGAGGGTGATGGAGCAATTCGGTTTTCGGATTCTTGTTCAGGGAGTGAAGCTCTACAAGAATTTCATAGTGGCTATAGGAACTCAAAAATCGTGTCGGACAGTGTTATTTCCGGCGATAGTGCTAGATCTCCTTGGTTCACGTTTCGATCGAATACTATCTTCTCCCCCTCCGTTTCTTTCGAGCGCCGATCTTTCGAGCCTTCCCCTCGCTCCATTGCAAGTACGCGTCCATCCGAGTGTCGAAGCAACCATCTCGAACGGACGCGTGCCCCGTTCGTCGTTTACAATTTACAAGACTACTTCCGACAGCGCTCGTCACGACCACTTTCGTCTGCCCCACGAGTCATCTCAAGGAAATTTTCCAAGAAAATTCTCTTAGACAATTTCTCCACTTTTCTTTCGATTGTTCACACGCTAGAGCAACCGGCGAATGTCTTAGGCATCGCCGAACACACGTGCTGAGACTCCTGATTAAAGGCATCCGTTTCAGATAACCACCCTCCGTTCCGCTTGACAGAAAAAAAAACACCCACGCTAGATCGCCCATTTACCATAGCACACCGCTTAATTCTTGCCTCCGTAGCAAAGTAAAAATAGTCCCAGTGGCGAAGGAACGAGGTAAGAGATTCAACTAGAGTAGCTGATCTCGCGAGTATGAATTACCACCTGCGTAGGACATAAGTTCTCATTAGTGCACTCGCATTTATGTATGGTCTGCTAGTTGCGATTAGCTGCGGCGCAGTGTCGATGCTCCTGGAGAGCCGAGGAGCTCGAAGTCGAAGCTGAGCTAGAGGGAGAATTACCATGAGTGGGACACTTTTTGTTTAGGAGAAGATAACGAAAAATTGAATAAAACCTATTTAATTCTAGCTTGAAACATTCGATAGATCAGCTGTTTTACTATGAGAATGCATAGCGATGCAATTGCTCAATGAGTTTCGCCTACGTTTACTTGTTTTATTTTTAATGTTTTTAGAAAATATGTATTGGATGGAACAGGTACAGTGGGTCACAAAAGTGTCCGTTCACCTTTTAAAACGCAATAATCTTTTTTGCAACTGGACTAAATGACTTGAGTTTTTTTTAGATGATAGAGGGGCTGTACACTAGACAATGACCAAAATGTCTTTTTTTAATTTTGTTATTATTTGAAATGACAGAAAGAAATAAGAAATTCTCGTTTTTTAACTTTTTTATCGGACTTTGTAACGAAAATTTTAAAAATGACTCTCGTAGATCTCGGTATTTTATTTTATCGAAATCGCGGTTAACCCAGAGTCGAGCTACAAGCGTTGAAAGATTTGAGCAACTGCAGATTTCTTCCAGTTTTTGGTCAAAATCGTGATAAAACTGTGATTTTTGCGATCTTTAATTTATTGTAACCCGTCACAACGTGAACCGATTTCGATGAAATTTTCAGCATGCATATAAATTAGCGAGATCTATAAGAGGCATTTTTTAAATTTTCGTTATAGGCTTAGATAAAAAAGTTGAAAAACGAGAGATTTTTATTTTCTTTTTGTCATTCCAAGCAATAGTAAAGTTAAAAAAAAAAGCATTTTGATCATCGTCTAGTAGACTAGTCCCTCCATCATCTAAAAAAATTCGAGGACAGTGTAACAAAATAAAGTAATCTTATAAGTACTGTTTTTTTATTGGCTGTAAGTACATATAATAAGGAGTTAGAGGTTAAATAGCCAAATTTGAGACATGAATTTAGGATGGTAAAACAAACTATAAGTATGCTCGTAAACGCTTTCTTCAAGAGCAATTTACTACTATAGTTGTAGGACTTAATAACGTATGCCGTCGAAATAATTCAGATTTATCACGTAATTATAACGTATTTATCAGGTAAATTACTAAAGGAGATTCTTGTATTCACTATAAAAATAATTATAAAAATTATTGTAATTATTATATTTCGTATGTTATAGGTAAACATTACATCTGCGAATAACAGATGAAGTGGCTGACTAACACTGTACACATACTATTTTGTTACAAGCTTGCACTATTCTCAATTTTAATGTTTCAATGTTATTAACCCTTTACACTCGAGTGGTGGCTCTGAGGCATCACTAAAATTGTTATATCACATTCTCAGATAATTTTTATATTACCAAAGTTTAGATTTAAAAGAATTGTTAAATGTGTAACTGTTGTTTGAGTCACAACAAAGCTCAATTTCATATGCATAAAATGTACTTTGTTGTATAAAATAGAAATACTATAAGTTAAAAAAATTGTTTTAAGTTTGCAGTTAAAGTGGCTTTCGAGTGCAAAGGATTAACAGTTACTCAGAACGAATGAAAGGAGCTTTTTGTTTGCGGTGCAAACAGCAACACAGTAGTCGATCTTGAAAACACGATTATTTCAGTTATCCCATTCCTAACTCTCGATAACTGTAGAAGTAAATATCTCTTGAAGGAAGCATTTGCGAGTATAGTTTCGCAGGATAAATTTGTTTTTTTTTTTAGAGTCCTAAATTTATGTCGAAAGTTTGGCGATTTAATCCGGGAACACCCTACACAATGATCTTAAATTACATAAATCTTTCTTCGCATCTCTGTATAATATCACATTTTCGTATTTTATAGCAAGAAATAATCCTTCGAATAAAAAGAAATCGTTATCTTAACAAATATCCTCAAAATTAATAGCATAATAATCAAACAAAATTTAGGACACCTTTTATGCCGTATGTTTCATTTACCCATTTAGTATACAGGGTGGACCACCCAACGTGATCAGCATAATTTAGTCTGTTGCTAGTGATTCGATTGGAAACTTTTTAAGCTAAAATAACATAGTTTAAGACAGTGCTCGGAATGCTTCGGAACGCAAATAGATCGACGCAGCTAAGTGGTTAATTAGTAGCGGCTTCAAATTACATGCAATTTAGATATGCATAATATAGTTACAAGTATAATTTTATTATAAAAAGATTCATAATTTTTGAGATAATGGTAATGTCCCATTCTTTATACAGGGTGTCTCAAAATTATTCTACAAGCGGGAAATGGCGGATTCCTGAGGTCATTTGAAGTAACTTTTTCCTTAGCGAAAATACAATCCGCGGCTTCGTTTACGAGTTATCAACGAAAAACAGTGACCAATGAGAAGCGAGATTAGTTGGCGCGAGGCGGCCGAGCCAATGAGGGGAACTGGGCTTCGATCGCTCGTTGGCTCGGCCGCCTCGCGCAAGCTAATCTCGCCTCTCATTGGTCACTGTTTTTCCTTGATAACTCGTAAACGAAGCTGCGGATTGCATTTTCGCCAAGGAAAAAGTTACTTCAAATGACCTCGGGAATCCTTCAAACGACCTCAGGAACTTCTCACTTCCCGCTTGTACAATAATTTTGGGACACTCTGTATGTGTCCCATTCATGGTAGTTTTCCCCTGTAAGGTTTGATCCGTTTAGCATCCCGGCGAGCTTCGAGAGCCAGGATCGATCGAAACCGCGCCGCGATCCCGTTAGCATCCGAGTAACCGGCCAAAACTCCTCCCGATCATGAAGAGACAGCGGCGCGCGTGCGTCTCGGTAACGCGACCGCTGACAATGTCGATGTCGGATTACCAAAGGATATCCCCGTAGGAGTCCCGTAAAACGGCCAGAGCTGCGACACTGTTCGGGACACTTAGAGGAATTAGAGGCCTACCGAATCCCCTTGTACATAAATCACGTGCTTCAAGTATGAATTCAAGCTGCTGCTCGTAGCGGTCGCGCGAAAGTGCCGCTGCCCGGGCCTCGAGCGACCCGACTAACGCGATCCCTACGATTACCGGTATTCGACAGACCACAGACGAGGGAGCCGACGTCCACGTCGTCGGGAACGTCACGGCTGACGGTGACCTCGGACACGTCCGCCCTGGCCACCGCTCTGCAGTCGGCACTGAACGGTAGAACGGCGCCAACCAGGTCGCAGAGCCAACCGGTCGACCTGGCGGTGCCACCCACGACTCAGCAAACACACGCGCCGCACGCATGGCACAGCCAACCCGCCGCGTTCAGGAGAGGAGAGTTCAGGAGCGGGTGAGTCTCGTCGGATCTGTCGCACGGTGGGAACAAATCCCGGGAACGTGGTCTCGGAAATAAATTGTGAAGTTTCTGCATCGAGATTTTCGTGCTCGCTGATCACGAATCTGAACTTGAAATTTCGTAAAGCAAAATGTCGATCCAAAATGTGGACGGTCGAGTATTTGAACGAATTGGTTTCCGTGAAAATTGATATGAAAATGTTTTAGGCACCTATAATTACGAATTCGACCTTGAAAGTTCCAAAAGCAGAATAATGGATCCAATATGGCGGACGAGTATATTTGAAGAAATTATTTGATTTCCACAAAAATTGTTGATAGAATGTTCTCCGAACTTGCGATTACGGATCTGAACTTAGAATTCCAAAAACTAAAATGGCAGATCCAGTATCCAATAAGCACCGGACGTCTTAAAGACCTCCATTTTACGTCCATTTTAGGTCTGAAAAGTGCGCCCTAAAAGGGACGTCTTTAAGACGTCTTATTTCAGACGTGAAAAGGACGTCCAATTTTTAACGTCTTTACAGTGTAAAACGTCTCAAATTGGACGTCCTTTTGACGTCTGTTTCGAGCTGTCTTTAAGACGTCAGTTTCGAGCCAACTTTAAGACATCTGTTTTGAGCCGTCTTTAAGACACTTGAAATATTTCTTCAAGGCGTTTTTTACGTTTTCATGGCTTTTCACATAAATCAGTCAAGTGCTTTTAAATACAATACAACTTTAACCCTTTGCAATCGAAGCTATTTGAATTCGAAATCTAAAACATGATTTCTGATCTACAGTATTTCTATTTTATATAATTTATTGCGATTTATGCATATGAAATTGAGCCTATTGGCAAGTACAATGCAATTTTAATAGTTTTTATTTAAGTATAAACGAATCTGATGCTCTTAGAATGATTTTGATAAATACTATACCAATTTTTAGTGGCGCCTCAGAGTCGCCATTCGAGTGCAAAGAGGTAATATGGACGATGGAATTAGAATATAAAAATGACGACGTGAATTTTGTTTCTACGCTTTTTATAAAAGTTGGTGATCGTCAAGAGTGCACCGATCAGCAATTTATGTTCTATAAAGATAACTTTTTTAGAAGCTCACACGTTATAATAGTGGCCGCCGAGAAAAATGTCGCTGAAATGTCGATTATCGAATCGGTACTGTTCGGGCGCGAATAGCATCCTGATTGTCCCACAGATATCTTTAAGACGTCTTTAAGACATCTTCAAGACGTCTTTGTGCTATCTAGGTATAGATTCGAGAAAGTAGATTTAAGTCAAAAAATTAACAAAAAAGTACCATTTCATTAGAAATTCATTAAATAGATGAAGATATCTAAAACTGAGTTACGCAGTTGGATTCCTTATTTAAAAAATATACAAATTTGCAATTTGAACCGCCAATGTGAAAAATAATGAGTTGGATCAAATAATTCAATAAAAAAATTCTGGCCTCTTACAAAGAAGCAATTTTTTTTCAAAATATTCAAGTCATTTGGTCCAGTTTAACCCTTAGCGGACGACGACTTTTTTGGCCGAGTCAAATAGCAGAACGAGACGATTTTTGCAAATCTGTCGACTGTCTTATATGGTACAATAACATGATCTTAAATATAAAATTATCTTACGAAAACGTTATATTTCGTTAGTTTATCTATATTCACACTTATATGAATATAATTTTACAAAAATTATGATTTGTAATTTGGTGTGATAGTTTATAAAACATTGACCAAGATGCATTCTTGGTTTATCTGGACATGTATCACAAAAATAGGTCGTCTCATGTCTTCTTCTTGGTTTGTCCCGACTGAAACAAACTTTGCAATCTTTCTTTGTGCCAGTAAAAATTACATGCAGTTTCCCGTTTAGACGAATTTCGTCAGAGTTGAACGTCGAACTTGAAAATCTGTCTCGTAGTTGACGAAAATCTCCTCTAAATCTGTTGATCAAAATTTTGCGAAAGTTCAAATGTGCAACTGGCTGTTCGTTTCTCTGCCTTTTTTACATGTCTCTAGAGAATGCACGAATTGATTAAACAAATTTCCAGTCCCCAGAAAAATAATTTGCGCCACCACTTCGGGGACTTTCTCATAAAACAGTACGTTGAACAATGTTGGAGATAACGAAATCCAACATAAACGCCGCCTCTCACTCGCCACTTATTCGCTAAGGGATAAATTCAAAACAAATAACAAAATGAAACACTTTCGAGGAAATCTTCTTTGCTGAAATGTGGCTCTGGCAATGGACAGTACGATTATAAACGAAGTTATGCCAAAAACGAAAGCACAACGAAAACAGGGAGACAAACGTTCGCATGTAAAGAAAATCCGACATTTCTCATATGCACCAACCTAATAATAGCAAAATTTCAAAAAGATATTTTCGTCATTGTACAGTAAACTAGTCTTTTCAACATTCTCAAAATATTCAAGTCATTTGGTCCAGTTTAACCCTTAGCGGACGACAACTTTTTCGGCCAAGTCAAATAACAGGACGAGGCGACTTTTGCAAATATGTCGACTGTCTTATATGTCTCTGCCTTTTTTACATGTTTCTAGAGAATGTACGAATTGATTAAACAAATTTCCAGTCCCGAGAAAAATAATTTGCGCCACCACCTCGGGGACTTTCTCATAAAACAGTACGTTGAACAATGTTGGAGATAACGAAATCTAACATAGAGATTTCAGATAAAAACAGTTGTTGCGTTTTAAAGGGTGCACGAATAGATTCAACCGTCACTGTGAATAGACAAGACCATCGAATCTTGGTTTCTCAATAGAGTGATTACCACGTTCACAGGATTTTGTCCCACTGTGCATCGTCTGCCCATAATCGGATAACAATTTGCTCGGTCTAACCAAACAGGTACAGCTCTTTTAACAAACGATCGGAGCCCGAGGGCGACGACCCGTGGAGCTGCGTGGTGTCGGTGTCGGATCGAGGAGGTATTCAGCGTCCTCGTAGCAGCGAATCGCGAAAGGACCCGTCGAATCATCGCGGATCGAGCGATCTGGCGAGTAGTCAGCGTCCAGAGAGCAGACAACCGGCTCAAGAAGCGGCGGCGCAGGCTTCGTTGCCGGTTCCGCGGCAAGAGTCCTCGAGGCAGACCAGCGAGGACATGTCCTGGGAGTTCACGATAAACGAGGCGCCGATCGCAAGATTGGAGTCACTGGACGAGCTCGATCAGGACCACGGCAGTTAAGGGCAACGATCTCGCCGCGTTCTGAAGACATTTCACGGCTTGACGCGACCAGAGACGGCGTCGAGCGACCGATCGTCGTATTCGGATGGCTGTGGACTCCTTCCGTTTCCCACCGAGGGATCTAGCGAACAAACCGGGTCGTTCGACGAGCACGCCGATCGATTTTCTTCCCGAGATCCGCGAGTCCTTCTTCTAGCAACCGCTATGCTTCTACACCTCCGTTCTTTACGTCGCCGCGAGACTGTCCTCCTGCATCTGGACGCGGTCCTGCGACGCGTTTTACACACTTTTTCGTAGCGTTCACACTCGGAGAATGATTTTCTGTCGCGTGAACGACCACGCGGGTATTGCATTCGTTGAAATTTCGAACAGGACAAGACAGGCCTGATTTCGTTCTTCGATAGTCAACCGTTTTGTTGTGGCAACGCCCGCGTCGGTAACTTCGATGTTCACTTCAGCGTACAAAGACCTACTTTTAAGCTCGAAGAAGCTCGAGGGATCTCTGGAAGGAAATCGGCCGGCGTTCGTTGGAACGGCGTCGGCGAGCTGCGAGACGCGAACTCGAGGAGCGAGAAGACGAGGGGAATACAGAGCGAATAGCTAACAGAAAAAGCGGAGAGAAAGAGAGAAAGAGAGAAAGAGAGAGAGAGAGAGAGAGAGAGAGAAAGAGAGAGAGTTTGCGAGACAAAAGTCCTTGCGAAGAAAGGTTTACGGGAACCTGTTGCCTTCGAGGTTTCCGTGGCCTCGCGTCGATATTATATCCTCGGAGGAATTTTATAATCGATCAGCCGACAGACGCCCACGCTCAAACACGTGCTCGTCGCGTATTCCCCTCGGAGCACACATACACACACCATACACATACATAACACACACACACACAGAGGCTCGCGGACGCGGGATCGTCTTTTCGTTTCGTTCGAGGAGGGCTTTCGTTGCTCGGTGTCGCGAGAAATACGAGAACGGAGGAAACGCTGGCGGGGGAGGAGGATTTCTAATAAATATAATATGAAAGTACAAGGAGGGCTGCTGCGGCGGAGGATCAATTTGTTAGAGAGGAGAGGGAAGGGAGGGCGCAGGAGCGCGATATCGCGTGTACGTAGAGAACGGGGGGGTGAGAGGCTCGCGGGATTTGTGAAATTCCCGGGCGCTGATCGAGTCACGGTGAGACCGCGTAGTTATTGAAAATTCTTATGGAAATTATATCGACTGAGAGCACTTTCGTTTTTTAATGCTTATAGGCGACGTGTTTCGGGCGAGGTAAGATAGCGATGGGGGGAGTGTCGACGAGACCGACGTCTCCGTCGCGACGTCGAGGAAGGGCATTGTCAGCGAAAACCAGAGAAACGAGTTCAGAGTTCGGATGAACCGCGGGAAAACGATATTCTGTGTGCCACCTTGTCGCGTTGAAAACAGTCGCAATGTCCTTTATACAGACAAACAGAAAGCTGCAGAGAGAGAGAGAGAGAGAGAGAGAGAGAAAGAGAGAGAGAGGAGAAGACGAGAGAGAGAGAACAGCCAATGACAAAATACACAGAGAACACAAAGAGAACACAGAGAGAGAGAACACAGAGAGAAAAGAAATTCAGAAAACACGCGAGGCGAGGGAGACGCTATTTGGAAATTATTGCGGAGAGAATTTAGATAATTACTAATATTCTTACTATTATTATTGTTATATTATTATGATTATTACCGATTATTATTGTATTGTATATGATTATTGCCATATAAATAGGGAAGAAACGCAAGCGCGCGACGGGGGAGAGGAGACGGTGGAATAATATATCCGTTTGGTATGTCGCGTCGAAGAACGGAGAAACGAGATTAAACGGATGGGTAACGATTGCCTGCGCAATAAACGATTATTATAAATAACTATACATATTATACATAATAAAAATGCGTGCGTGCGTGTGCGCGCGCGCAATCGCGTGAACGCATTCTCGCGCGTCCCCACGCGTCTACAGCGCGTTGTAACAAATTTTTTACAAAGCATCTCTCGAATTTTCATTGTATCGTATATTTGCTCCTAAGCGTACGTTGGTTTCTCTTCCTCTCTTTTCGTTCTCGAACACACCTCCCGAGTTTACTTTCTTTCAACCCACCCCAAAAACGCGATCTATCTCACGCAGTGTCACAACAAGGGGTGAAAAGCAAGCGATCCCTGATCCGCGAACGGTCACTCCACGATCACCGATAGCGTTGCTGCCCGATCCGCGAACATTCGTCGCGCGACTCGTTCGACGATCTTTTGTTAACGCGAGCATCGATATCGCACGTATCCGAGACGAGAAGCACGAAGCGCGCGGTTCGGGATTTTCGGATCGATGGGAGGGGAGGGCTCGTTCGCGGACGATAGATCGCCGATCTATTCGTTCTTTGCTCAGTATTTTAGGCTGTAAATGATACCAGATACATTCGATGTAACGATTAAAACGACTCGTAGTTACTTTGCGACGAGAGGAACAGCGGCGCAGCGCTACCGAGAAGCAGCTTTTTAATTACAGATAGAGATGGTTATTATCTTTGATTATTACTTACCAGTAGTACACGCAGCACACGTGGATTTTCGCACCTAGGTACACGGCGAAACGATACGGATTTATCGCGGACGTCCTTCGACCGCGGGACGTTCGACATGGTCCA